TGTGCCCCCAGTACCCACCCCACCCTGCAGAAGGCAGCCCTGTGCCCTCCAGTACCCACCCCACCCTGCAGAAGGCAGCCCTGTGCCCTTCAGTATCCGCCCTGAAGAAGGCAGCAGTTAGGTTCTGTGACTCATTGGTGGATGGTTGCCCGCCTTCTGCCTCCCCGAGACAGGCTGAGAACCAGGGCATTTTCTGGTTAGCTCAGTGATGAGTCTGTGAGAGGAAGGAGCGTAGAGCCAGTCACTGTCAGCAGATGCGAGAGCCTCATTCTATAGCCAGTGTGCTTCTCTGTCTAGTGGGTTATGGTGACCCAGTCAGTCACTGAGCTCTGATGACAAGGAGAGGGACAAGTGTCTCCCTCCCACTCGGGGATCAGAAGAGCCTATGAGAAAAGCTCATAGAAAAAAAAAGCTCATAGGAGAAAATGTGGGAAAATGACCACCTGTCTAACATCCTAGAGGAGGGACCAGCAAACCCCAGACCAGGGCCCAAATCCAGCCCCTACGAGCTTAGCATGGTTTTACATCCTTGACTGGAAAACAGCAAGAGGAAGCCAGGTCTTGGGCCAGCAAGAGGGTTCAGCGAGTAAAGGTGTCTGCCACCGTGACTGACAGCCCGAGTCCAATGCCTGGCATCTATACCGTGCACTGAGAGAATCTATAATAACAAGCTGGGTACGTTTGAGGGTTTTGTCTGCAGGACATCAGTGGTGCTAGACAGGCATGTGGCCTTTTAGGGAGCTCCCCACCTGAGCCAGCTGTTGAAGGTGATTTCCAGTTCAGAAATGTGAACGGTGCTGCTACCTTCCCTAGCCAGGCTCCCTGGCCCCAGAACTCTGCTTGTGTGTTGGGATTAGTGCCCTCCATTCTGACCACACAAGCTCCTGTGGGGTTTATGTCTAGGAAATCAGGCTCCCAGCCTTTTCCAGGAAGTGTCCAGTAGGACCCCTACCCTAATGTCACCTTCCTGTGAACAGAACTGAGTGGGGGCATGGCAAGGTGAGGCTCTCTGCACTGGAATAGGCCTGTCTTCCGGCTCTGCACTCCTTCCTCTCTCCTTCCTTCTCTGACTGTCCTCCACTCTGTTCTGCAGCCAGAGCCTCCGAATCTTGGTGGTGGCTTTCACTGGATCAGGTGGACTCAGGGACAACATCCGATTGTGGTTGGGTGCTTTGGGACTGTCACACTCAGATCCTCCCTGTCCTTAAGCCAGCTTTGGAGATGCTGCTTGCTTTTGGGGTGAGGTTTCTGTCATACACATTGGTTTAACCAAGGTTATTGCTGAGCCCCTTTTCCACCCACCATCCACCATAGTGCCCCAGGACCTAATGGATGTCTCTATGAACAACCTTCCATCCCTATGGCAACCCAGTCCTCGGAAGTCCTCCTGCTCTTCCTGTTCGCAAAGCGGCTCAGCTGACGGCAGCTCAACCAATGGCTGTAACCATGAGAGGTAGGCGGGGCTTAGGCTCCTCCTTCAGGGAGGAGCTTGAAGCACAAACCAAAGTCCTGTGACTATCTCTTGCCTCGCCCTGAGTTTGGGGAGGTGTGAACGCATGGAGCTATGTTTAAATCATGGCTTCATGTGGTGCTGGTCACTGGAGTTCCCTTGCATGTGTATGTCAGGATAACGTTCTGTTGCAGTAACAAACAGTCCTGAAAGAACAATGGCTTTTTGCAGCAAATGCTGGAGAATCCTGTGTGCCATGGGCCCGCTTTCTAAAGGACATCCATCTTGGATGTCGCTAGGCCACAATATTGGAGGCAATGATATTTCTGTTTTTCAACTCAATAGTCCCACTCACAGTGAGGCCAAGGAATACAGGCCCAGCATGCACCAGGAGCCAGAGATATTACTTAATGACAGCCATACGTTCTGTGTGCTCTTTCAGGGCACATTAACTTAGTAGGGCTATTACAAGGAAATAGAAGTGGTCACCGTGGACCACTGAGAACTTTGCCCAGTGTCTGCCCTCCGAGCAACGACTTTCATACCTCTGTCAATGAGAAGCTCACCTCCTTGCATAATTGCAAGCCTGAGGAATAGCTCCTGTATGCACCTTGAGCAAACCTGAGCGTCACATCCTAAGGGCAAGAGGAGGGACAATCACTCCCAGGACTTTAGCTGTGCTCCCTTTTCAGGCTTGCTGGGTTTGAATGGTATCCCTGGGGTAGCCTCAGGATAGATACACAGAGAGTCGTCCATTCTCTGTAAGAGCTCACAGCCCATCTCCCCAAACGGCAGTACTGGGTATTACTCTTTTGCTTCCACTTCCGACAAGCACTGAGCAGGGAGAATCAGCAGCCCTGAGACCTGCCTACTTAGTTTAGTTCACGGGGCCAAACCCACAGGCTACTCCTTCAAACTGGTTCAAGGGGAAGGGATGGGGAGAGAGGAAATGAATGTGTGTGTTGGAGAAGGCTAGAGATTGAGGCAGGAGGGCTGTGGGTCCCAGGCTAGCCTGGGGTATATAATGAGACCCTATCTTAAAAAAAAATCTTAAAAAAGAAAACAGGAAAAGAAAGATGCGTTTGCAGGATTGAGAAGTTCGGGGGCACAGTGTTTTCAAGCCTAGTTGGATCCAGGTGCTCAGAATGGGGACAACTCTCCTGGTCTCCATGTGTGGGCTGAGTCAGTGCCTTTATGGTGCTGTGTTCTTGGGGTGGCCCACCCTGGTGATGGCCAAGACTTCCAGCAGCCACTACGGCTTATCCTACTGGCTTAGAAACTCAGGCAGGAAAAAGGGCGTGCTTTCAGGTAGACGCAGCAAAAAAAAAAAAAAAAAAACGAGGGCTGATTCTCATTGGTCCAGGTTGGATCACATGACCGCTTCTCAGCCCGTCATCTGCCCGGATCATGTACTAGGTGTACACGGCTTCCAGGCCGTGGAGACACAACGTTATAAAGTGGTGGTCCCCCAACAGAAACCTGGGCTGTGACAGAGAAGGGGCGTGTGGGTGGGAGCCACGGCAGCCTCCCTCCGCCCTGACGGCTGACTTTGATCTGCCGTGTGGATCGTGAATGGTTCCTTTGTAGAGCAGCTAAGCTGTGTGTATCTCTCTGCTCCCTACTTCTCCTGCAGGGCCCCACTGAAACTGCTCTGTGATAACATGAAGTACCAGATCCTTTCCAGAGCTTTCTATGGATGTGAGTACAGGTCCCGTTCCTGCTGTAGTCTTCGAGAAGCATTATCGAGTGCCTTGTGTGCCGGGAAGGTTCCCAGGGCAAAGTGGATGAAGGTGCTTGTGGCATGCACTCCTTTGAGGGGGACAGGACGAGCTTGGAAAGCAAGCAGAGTACTTGGCATCTCTCGGACATTCCCTTCTCCATCCAGCAGGGATTATTCTGTCCACATTCGGCCTTTGTTCTTTCTATAGGAATGGGAGGCAGGCCCAGAGTGAGCCCAGAAGTTCTTGGTTCCTCCTACCTCCCTGTCCCTCCCCTGCCCACAGCACATCTATTAAATGTGGTGGCTTCCAGCATAGGAAGATGGTGTCTGTCCAAAGACAAAACAAAATGTCCTTTAGGTTTAGTTGTTAGGACACTCAGCGACAGCGCCCTCGTCTCACTTTCCTTGTCTGGAAAGAGGACAGTGAGAATTTTCCGGGTTGAGGGTTCCTAAGATTGAGGTGGGTAACAGGACATCCCCGAGGAGCTTCCAGGAGAGACTTGGTGAAGTGTGGTAGGCAGAAGATGAAGCCTGTCTTCCCTCCCCGGCCAGGGCTCGCCTACTGCAGACACCTGTCCACCGTGAGGACCCACCTGTCGGCCCTGGTCAATCACATGATCGTGTCTCCAGACCTGCCCTGTGATGCTGGGCAAGGGTTGACGGCCAGCATCTGGGAGCAATATATCCAGGACAGCACGGTGAGCTGGGCTTGTTCACCAGAGGGCAGAGCGGGGGGAGGCCGTCTTGTCAGATCAGACTCATGGGAACCCAGGTAGGCATGCCTGTCTGAACATGGAGCATCAAGTCCAGAGACCCACAGCTGATATGAGCGCCATCCAGATGAAAGGGTGAGGGTGTCGAGAAACATGTATATATACAGTATCCCAATCCTAAACAAACTCCTAGTCCAAAATGTTCTGGAATTGAAACTCTTTGACATAAAAATCCCAATGGAAAATCACACACCTGACCTCACATGACAGGTCACAAACATGCCATGCACTAAAAATACCATATAAAGTGACTTGCTGGCTGTGTGAATAAGTGTATGTTAGACACATGGACTTAGAACCAACCCATACATATATATATGTGTGTGTGTGTGTGTGTGTGTGTGTGTGTGTGTATTCAAACTTGCAAGAAAGTCTGAAACCCTTCAGGGCCCAAGCATTAGGTCTATTCAACCTTGAAAAGAAGAGAAAGGGCAGCTCATCTGAAGATGGTGGCACATACCTGTCATTGCAGCATTCACAAAGCTGAGGCAGAGGGATTGCGGGTTTGAGGCAAGCCTACGCCACTTTGTGAGTTCCAGGATAGCCTGAGCTACTTAGCATAATGTTCTGATTAAGCTACTGATTATGTGTTGGACCAAGTTCATACCTACTTTGGGGTGCATGTGGGCTGTGGCCTTGGCACATGCTCTGATCCTGTTGGTCTGACTCAGGCTACGGCCTGAGTGCCTGCCCCAGCGCTGTCAGTCATCTGCCTGTACCCTTGTCTTTGTTTCTGTGTCTATAGCTACAAAGCTGTGTGGATTTATATGCAACAAAGTTTCTCTCCTGTTGCTGTATCTATAGCTACAAAGCTATGTGGAATTATATGCAGCAGTTTCTCTCTTGTTGCAGTCGTAACCCCGCACAAGCAACTTAAAGGTGTAAGGGCTTATTGTAGCTATTGTAGCTCACAGTTCCACGTGTGTCCCACCGTAGTGGGGAAGTCAAGGCACAGGAGCGTGAGGCATGATCCCACCTCGTCCACCACTGTGAAGAAATAGAGAAGTTGGGCACTGGTGGCGCACACCTTTAATCCAAGCACTCAGGTGGCAGAGGCAGGCAGATCTCTGAGTTCAAGTCCAGCCTGGTCTATACACAGTGAGTTCTGAGACAGCCAGAGCTACAAAGGGAGACCCCTGTCTCAGAAAACAAACAAACAAACAAACAAACAAAGACATACAAGATATATATTGTATACTTCATCGGGATTTTTAATCGACACGTCTACAAATACATAGAGATATTTATGCCTGTGTCTTATATAGATCTCATATATTTCTGTTTATTACATAGACACAGAGTTTCTAAAGTTATCTATCATATCTTTGATCTCTCGTCTATAGCTATAGAATGATAGGAATATATTTGTATCCACCTCATCTAAATTTCTTTTTAATTTTTTTATATTTATCTTTTTTTATGTGTGTTGGAAGGGGGTGTACAAATGCCACACTATGCACACGGAGCTCAGAAGACAACAGCTTGCAGATGTAAAGTTTCTCCTTCCACCACACAGAAACCAGTTCACCAGGTTTGGCAGCACGCACCTTTATCTGCTGAGTCGTCTCTCAGCCTCTAGATCTATACCGTTAACGTTCTGTTATTTTCAGTGGGCAGCTTACTCTCCTAGCCCTTGAATGAAGGCTCATCTTTCAGATCCCAAAGAAATACTGAGGCCCACAGTTTATTTAAATTCTTGCTGACAAAATTCTCACTTTTTTTTCCCTTCTAATTTATTGTTGCTTGAGTTGGGGGAGAACTCTTACTAGATAGCCCAGGCTGGCCTTGAACTCACAACCCTCCTACATCATTCCCTAGTGTTGGAGTTCGATTTGCCCACCTACACCAGGCCTGGCTTCCTTTTAACTCTTTTTTTAAAAATCCTTTTCCGGTAATGCAGCAGTAGCAGCACTAGCGCACGCCCTCCTGTACCCTTGGCATTTTGATTTTGAGAATGAGTTCCTAGAAGTTGATTATAGTGTAATAAAACCTGAAATAGATAAGCCAGAGTACTCTCTCAGCCTCCCACGGACACTGCGTGAGCCTGCTGGTTCCTGGGGAGCTGTGGGACTGACTGGCTTCTAGGCTCAGCTCCAGATCTGATCTCTGGGAGAAGAGCCCACGTCTTCTGTTTCTGACGTCCCCGGAGTGCTTCCGTGATCCAATTTGGGAGTTTAAGGTCAAATTGGGTGAAAAATGGATGAGCCAAAACTATGTCATTGAACACCCCATCCCCCTATTGTGTAGTCCTTTCTCAAGGCTTAGCCGCCTTCCTGTGCTTGGTACACTGAATCCAAGGAACAAACAGTCCCCGCTGTCTTGTAACCTGGAAACACTGGGTCTGTTTCTCACTGACAGTGGGTGTACTTCCTTCTTAATCTGAAGTGCTTGTGAACCCACCATCCCCTGCCATTCATAGTCACCTGAGAAGACAAGAAGGAACCCACCAACTTCCTCCCGTTATTCCCTGGCCAGAAAAAGCTTCCATTACTTCTCACACCCCATTGGCCAGAAACGGTCATATGATCACACCTGGCTGCAAAGGAATCTGGGAAATGTAGTCTAGTGGATTCAAGCGTCCCAGAAGTGGCTTTTCTATTCTTACTATCATCGCCTCTCATATCATTCTAGAAAATAATTGCAGCTACGGCGTTTACAGGAAATAAGATCCAAGACCATAAACAAAACAAGAAATATTAAAATTTAGCATAGCATTGTCTTACAATCCAGGAGCTGGAGAGATGGCTCAGTGGTTAAGAGCACTTGCTGTTCCCAACACCCACATCAGGCAGTTCACCGGGGCTTGTCACTCCAGTTCCACGGGATCCGCTACCCTCGTTTGGCCTCTCAGGGGATCAGGCATATGCACAGTGCACATCAACTCATGCACGTAATCAACAATCATAAAATAAATATACATATATTGTATATACATATATGTAACATACATACTTCATACATACATATATGCATACATACATTGTACATACATATATGCATATATGCATTATACATACATATATGCATACATGCATACATAGATAGGTCCAGGTTTTGTACCTATAAAGTAAAATGGAGAAAGATGTCAAATCAACAACTTAACCTTCTATCTTAGGAATGGGGGATGGGGTGGGGGACGGGCAGCAAACTGAACCTGAAGCAGGCAGACGGGAGGAAAGACAGTGATCAGAACAAATTAAGCACATGCAGAGAACAGAGATAAGGAATGCAAGTAAAGCAGGCTCTTAGGGAAGACCAGCAAAGCTGGGAAACACCTTAGAACCACAAGTGTGTGGAGGGTTCGCAGGTGACCAGTCAGAAGTCAATGAGGGGGCACCACTACAGGCTCCACAGGCAAAGGAATGGATTGAACATGTGAACACCATGGAAATGTATGTACCAACAAACTGACAACAGAACTCACAAACTCCTAGAGACTCAAAACTTCCTAAATGTCCTCAAAAAGAAATGAGAAACCTCAGAGGAGCCATTTTATAACTCATAAAGAAAAGCCAAGATGGCCGGGTGGTGGTGGCGCACACCTTTAATCCCAGCACTTGGGAGGCAGAGGCAGGCGGATTTCTGAGTTCGAGGCCAGCCTGGTCTACCGAGTGAGTTCTAGGACAGCCAGGGCTACACAGAGAAACCCTGTCTCGAAAAACCAAAAAAAAAAAAAAAAAAAAAAAAAGCCAAGATGACTCAGTGGTTAAAAGCACTGGCTGCTGTATTAGAAGGCCTGGGTTCAGTTGCCAGTATCCATATATGCTGGCTCACAACCTCCAGGTCCAGGGGACTTGACTCCGTCTTCTGGCCTCTATAGGCACATGGTGCAGTTACATTCAGACAAAACACTCATGCACATGAAATAAAAACTAAATGAAGCACTGGAGACCCAAATAGCTTCGGAGAGCCCCCCTACCCCTTGAGGAAAGAAGTTTTTTCTAATGAACACTTTGCATTTGTGCCATAACTGGTTTTGATTTTCTGATTTCTAAAGACGCTGACATTATCTACCTAGGGGGTCAGAGTTCCCATGGCAACCCAAGGAATGATACACTGTCGCTGCTGCTTGTCCTTATGACTTTTCTTAAAATAACAAAGCCAAGCCACACTCCAGGAAGCCCTAAGCCCACCCCCTGTGCAGAACACGCTGTTGGTGTGAGAAGAGGCTTCTGGAAGTGTTCACTTTGGATTGTTTTGCTTTAGAGTAATTTTCCTCATGCTGACTGGAGATGAGATTGCATTTGTTAATTAAGGGGAATGCTAGTTCCTTAGGCACTGTCTTGGGCACATGCCTCCCCCCCCCCCCTTTCCTCCTCTCTGTCCTCCCCCTCCCTCCCTTCTCTCTCCACTTCTCCTCTTCTTTTGGTTTTGGGTTGTTTTTTTTTTTTTAACTACTTTATTCTAGATGAGGCCTCATGTAGCCCAGGCTAGCCTCAAGCTCTCTGTGTAGTTAAATATGATCTTGACCTGCTCAGGGCGCTTGAGTTGCAGCATGCACCTTCACACCTGCCAGTCTATGAAGTCAGTTTCCCTGATCACATGTTTATCTCTTTCTCCACTTCACACTTTTGCCCCCTCCCCCAAACACACACACCTGCATGGTTTGTCCTTATAACTCCCTGTGTGGGTCCTCCATGAAGTAATGGCCCCTACTGGTGGGTGGTTAGGTGGGTTGGGCTATTAGCTTCTCCAGTGATATCAGAATTAATTACAGGTCCCTGTAGTATGTTATCTCTCTGTTCCTCTAACAAGTTCCCAGACCTGGAAGCTAATAAAGAAAAGATGTTCATCTTGGCTCACATTGTAGAGATTTAGGTCTGTGGACCCTGTTACTGTGGGCCTTCGGCAGCACAGGGCAACATGGCAAAGGAGCCAACCAGAAAGGCTTACTGTGGGGCTGAGCCACCATCCTCCATTGTGACCTAAACCTGTGTGGGCTTCTCCTCTTCAGGGCCCCACCAGCTTCCAATAGTACCAAGCTATTAACACAGGCATTTTGGAGAATGTTCCAGACACGGGAGATATGGCTTTGCTCATTCACACCGGGATCTCACCCCAGAAACAAGACTGCAGGGCATGGCTGCAGGCCGCCCTGGCTTCTCTGTTGACCAGACCTTTTGCCCTCTGACCCTTCCCCAATAGACTTACCCGGAGCAGGAGCTGCTGCGTCTCATCTACTATGGAGGTGTCCAGCCTGAGATCCGCAGGGCAGTGTGGCCCTTCCTCCTGGGCCACTACCAGTTTGGGATGACGGAGATGGAGAGGAAAGAGGTCAGTTACCTGTAAGGACAATGGAAGTTCCAGGGTTCTGTGGAGCTGGGTACTGTGCACGCGGGTACTGTGCACATGGGTACTGTGCATGTGGGTACTGTGCAACCAGGCACCATGCAGCTGGTATTATGAAGATGGGTACTGGACAGCTGAGTGTAGCTGTGCACTATGCAGCTGGGTACTGGACAGCTGGGTACTGGGCAGCTGGACACTAAGCACCTGGGTACTGGGCAGCTGGACACTAAGCACCTGGGTACTGGGCAGCTGGGCCCTGTGCACCTGGGTACTGGGCAGCTGGGCAGTGTGTACCTGGGCACTGTGTAGCTAGGTACTGTACAGCTGGGTACTATGTACCTGGGTACTAGGCACGGGGTACTGAACAGCTGGGCCCTGTGCACCTGGGTACTGAGCAGCTGGGCCCTGTGCA